TAAAACATCTCAAAGATGTTATTGTCTTTTCTCAACCAGGTGATTGCCCAGCATCTCATCAAATTAATGAATCTGATCTCAATGGTGATGAATATGCAGTAATATGGTATGAAGATCTTGTTCCACTTCAAATCCCGAATGCCGTACCTTTTGACTATGATTCACAGAAAGCATTGCCAGAACTTGACCGACCTGTAAATCAAGACGATATAAATCATGTTGTACTACAAATAGCTGAAAGTGATTATTTAGGACGATTGCCTAATTTACATTTGGCATATACCGATAGTTACGGAGTCGGCAGTAACGAACGACCAAACAAAGATGTTTTATCAACACTCGTACTAGCTGGAGCAATTAGTTTCGGAGTCGATAGTGGACAAACTGGGCAACATCCATTAGATAATAATCAGATACGGAAACAAAAAAAAGCATTACGAGATGAACGACCAGATTTCATGGAAAATGCCAATATGAAATCGTATCCATCGAAAAAATACTTGATAAACATACATTTCAAGAGTATTTTAGAACGGAATAAAAAAGAAAATTTAAAATATAATGGAAACTGCAAGAATCTTGAAATTTCTCTTGTATAAGATTTTTCGTGAACCAAAACCTTGTTTTACAATAAAAGAATATTCTATACATTTCTTTTCTTTTTATAGGAAAACTCTATCGTTCATCACGTCGAATGTTGCCTGGATGGAATGGACTTCTTCGATGACATCGTCATTTACAACTTCGAACTCCTGAAGATGATGAAATAAATGATGAAGAAGAACAAGAAGCAAATGCTGACGATAGTCAAAAAGACATAATTACATTAGACTCATCTCTTCTTAATAGAACTCCATCCTGGCAAGATCAATAAATATTAGGAATTGCATCTCAATTATTCTATGTCTAGCGGCAAGAAATGCTTGAAATTCTAAATTTATATGGACTTTCACATGAAAGTGATTTATGGTATCGAAAATCAACGAATACTACTGATGGAGAACTTGAAGACACAGCTTATACACAATTGGAACAGCTTGTTGTACGTACATGTGAAGCTTTCTTCTTACGTTTAGTATGTTTCTGTCAAAGTGATCGACATAACTGTAATGCAAATACAGCTTTCGAAAACTTATGTGAAGATTGCAAGAAAATACAAAATGCTGTAGCTATTGCATTGTATCAAGAATGTTACAGTGGACAAAATGGATTAGAACGAGCACCAATTCTCAGTTTGCCATGGTTATTTACTACAGCACTTATAAAGACACGTCAAAGAGAATTACCATCAAAGCAAGGTTTACTTAGTATGGCAATGGCAACTGCACTAAACGATCCGATTCATAACCGTTTATTACAATTAGAAGAACTCACACTGACATTTCGCACATCGAACAGTCGTCGACTCGAAGCAAACGTGCATTGGACTGTTTGTGTTTTTGTTGAAATTCTACACTATTGTATCAAATCAAAATCTTTTGTTTCATGGTCGAAGATACTCCGTCGATTCATGTGTAAAATATCTTCCATGCAACAATCCAATCCAATGGATGAATGGTCATTGGTCTTTGGCACCATAGAACAGAATGATTTATATGCTGCCACGCTCATATCAATGCAATGGACTGAGAATGATGATGAATTAATGCATTTTTATTTTGTTGAACTGCTTGAAACTTGCTTTGATCTTGATCGGGTCATGATTGATGATAACGATGAGTATTTACGAATGAGCGAAAAAATTATTCTAATACTCCAACGAATAGCGATCGGCAAAACGCCATGGGGAGAAAATCGTAAATAATGCGATTGTAACAGACTCCAAATTTCACTTCATTATAAAGAACTATAAATGATACTCCACATAAAAATTAACTTTCAGACTCAAATCGAAGCGGATTAATTTCTATTTAATTTATTATCTATGAAATTTTCCTCTGAATATTGCATCCCAACTTCTTGAACAAAAGAGCTTATCATCATATGAAAGAAAATCGGTATATACACCTTCAATATGTATTGAAGACCAAACGGAGGATTATATGAAATAAAATGAGTTCCTATATTTGCGTTTATGTTTGCAAGAACGTCCTATGTGACGTGCGCATATATTAAGCAGGTGGTGACTTCTGATAAAGTTTGATCAAAGGTAATCGGAGTCGAGGAATTCAAATCTGTAATTGATTTCTAAAAATTTCAAGTTTCCGTTCGTTTATCAAAGAAAAGCGTTTTCGCAAAAATAATGGATCTTTCTCGACTGGAACAAGGATTACTAGAAAAAAAGATCACATATGTCTGTATGCGTGTATGTATCTAAGCATGTTTGTTTGCAATCAGGTGTACAGCTACGTGTCTCCATATATTCCTGAAACCTTTCCGAGATAGCTTTCGATATATGATAATGTGAGTTTTTATGCGAAGCAAACACACAGCAATAAATAATTACGAATCAAGAATAACTAGTATGACTGATTTGAAGGCGAATTTGTCGCGTCAAACTGAAGAAGACTTTACATGAAAAGGTGAAGAATATATAGGTTTCTGTGAACGACAAGTACAAACGTTCTCAATCAAAAAATTATCATGAGATTTAGATCAAAATTTCTTTATTGAGGTACAATGAAATCTTCATGTTGCAGAAAGGGATCAACAAATCTATAGGACGAGTATTAACTGCATATCAACTATGTCATGGATCGCAATCGGAAAGATGTAGAATCAAAAGCACAGCGATGTCTTTGCTGCCTAAGAGAATATTTATTCCCACAAGTTATGCCTGTCAAAGAAGAACGTATCATTTATTGTTTCCGAGAATATGAAGAACGAGAATTTCCGGATGTTTCAATTATTTAAAAAAAAAAGATGTCATACCACAATTTTCAATGATCAAGAGTCGAATATGAGAAAAGAATTAGAGAGAAGAGAGACATTGAGAATTAGTTTTGGATACCTGTAATTCCCATTCCTATTATATTACCTAAAATGTCAATCTCATCGCTTTAAATTTATTTATCTTCTTATTACATTGACTACAAACAGTTCATGTTCAACATGCTTATAAGAAGTGCAATGTTTATCGGTTTCTTGGATACTACACAAAATGTCCTGAACAAGAAAATAAAGCATCACTTCCTTGATGATACACGAAATTGAGCAGTCGGGAATATCGATCCGTAGAGATGCTGCTGATCAACTGCGAGCTGTCTCTAAACGTTCGATCTGTTTGTAAAATGGTCATTACTAGACATGTGCGGGACCAGTCCCGGTCCCGGTCCCGGTCCCGGTCCCGGCCACCGGGACCGGGACCAAAAAATAGAATTTTACCGGGACCGGGACCGGGACCGGGACCAAAAAATAGAATTTTACTGGGACCGGGACCAGGATCGAAAAACAATTTAGTCCCGGTCATGTTTGCCGTTGATAAGAAACATCGGCGGAAATACAAGTGAGAACTGCTCCAGATCTAAAACCGGCAGATTCCGCAACAACTTCTCTGACTATGGACAAATAACAGAAAAAGTAAGGTTACTTAGACTGGGTGTAGAACAAAAACCAAATTTAACACATTCGACGCGATTCGGTTTTATTAAAGAGTAGCTCTAGAGATTCATTTTCGTCTGCATTCATCTTGCGATAAATGCACTGCTTGGTCTTTTCATCCTATGCTGATCTGTCGTTTTCTCTTTTCCATTTGTAATATCACATGTAGCGAAGTAACCATTCTGTAGTTTGGCGAAACCCCTGTGAGGTCATTTCAGCATGACATGCCATTCGAGAAGTTGAATCAGCAACCCAATTCAAGCGCGAATTCACTAATCGCAAGCTCGAAGAAAAGGAAGGATTTAAGGGCAATGTCCGCAGACGCTGTACTGGCTGCTTTGCGAAAGGAAGGGCACAACAGTCAAGAGAAGCGAGCTATGCGGTAGCAAAGAAAGTAAAAACGTTCTGTTGTGAGTAACAATTTTTTTTGTCTTGATTTTTTTAACAAGACCCATCATGCTATGGAATAACGGACACAAAAAGAGTTCTGAAGGCAGAACAGATAAAGCTTTATGTTCAACCTCCTGTCTAAGAACAAAGAAAAATAAAGTACTTTTCTATACAGTTTCTCGTTAAAATGTAGCGTGGCTCACTGTTAGGCCACATCGTAGCGAATGTGTTAACTGAGCCCAGGACTAAAAAACAGAATTTCACCGGAATCAGCAGCAAAAGGAAAATTTCCACCGGGACCCAAACCGGGACCAAAAAAAATTTACCGGGACCGGGACCGGACCGGGACCAAAAATTTAATTTCACCGGGACCGCGACCGGGACCGGGACCAAAAAAAGTTGGTCCCGCACATGTCTAGTCATTACTGATGATATTATATAAACAGTTCTTTTGACACAAAGATACATTTCAGTTTAGAAAAATTTATTATACAAACCAAGTCAGTACTATTGCCTCACTCTTTATGTATGATGAATTCATTGTATAATCATAAATATAGATTTTCATTTTTTTCAAGCCTTTCTCTTGTAAGATCTAATGCAATTAGTCAAGATGTGTAACGAAGGTCTCACGTTGAATTAGTATTAGAATCAAATATAGATTTACAAATATTACAATCTTTTCGACAAAATCTTTTCTCAGATCCATGCAAATTGATATTGTTTATGGAAGACATAGAACCAACACAAGTTACCTGTCGATCTGCTAGTAGATCAATTGTTACAAGTGTCTTATTAATTCTATTGCTTTTGTTATCTCATAAAAAATGTATAATGAAAGTTTGTTGAAAGTTGACTATATGAAATACTTTCGAGAACACTAAATTAGAAAAATGGAATAAGAGCATTGAAGTCTTTTTTTACTTTTTTTTCCGGCCACATAGAACACGAAACGGGTTGTCGTCTAGAAGAAAATCCTTCACTTAAGACAAAAAATATTATGATTAAGATTAAAGTATAAGAAATTTTAATCTCAACTACATGATTAAGTGAAATATATGTCCATCGCATAGTATAAAACATATTTGTATCGATTCTTTCTATGTAAGGCTAGATCTTTTGTATTTTTTTCTAGCACAATAGTAACCTAGAATAACACTAATTCAGTTATTGTCAAAAAAATCCAGCAAAAATAAGTTGATAAATAGAGCATCTCCTAGTATTGAAGAGTCTATACGAAGCACGTATGTATTTATATTTGAAGATAAATTTTGTGAAACACGATCTGAAAGGAGTGTTGAAGTGTTTAGGGGTAGAAATTTGCACCCACTCCCCCCGACCACACAGACCGTGACAGAGAACCCTGGTACCCATCACAGACCATGACAGAGAAACTGTAGTTGTAAAGCACCAGATAAACGGTTAGCTACAAATGTGTCGCAACGAAATGGAACAAAAGGATTTCCATTTAATTAGTAACAATAGATCCATCGTGTTTCACATTTTTAATTCCGCAAGGGATTGCGCTAACAGCTCTTATGTGTGGTATGCAAAGTCGATATGTAGTGTCTTATACCTGTTCATGGTTCGAAAAGGGTGTGAGTGTGGGGTGTGGATGTGATTGTGGGTACAGAGGAAAGTGGCATACACCTACACCCTCCCTAGTCTTTCTATCAGCCGTATGCACCCTTAAAATGGCTAGAGATATAATTCTGATCATCAGGTCTTTTCATAGAAATGTGTCAATTCGTAATTTTATTATGCATCAAGTATCAGTATACTAATCTTTGCAAAAACATCATATGATGAGACGATTATGTCGTGGACACTGAAAACGCTGAACAAGTACTATGCGGGTACGCAAAAGTGATATGGTATACATATAAACAACTCAATGTCTTGTCTAAGATATTTGGCTTTCTCTGTTCAATTGTTGCATTCGATTCCATTCATGCCATTCTTCAGATGACAAATCATCAGGTTCACGTTCGGGTCCTTCTATCCATTTCCATCGTTGTGCTACTTCGCACAGAATGAAGAGTAGCATCATTGTCGCATAGCCTACAGTGAATTGCCATCCATCATCTGTTTTGCTATATAAGATGCCCAAGTTCGATGAATGAATTAAACCGAAGAAAGAGAGTAGACCCGCTAAAAACGACCATACGGCACCGCGAATGAACTTTCGGTCGATCATATACATGATGATTGCTGTAATCAGAATGCATTGAAGAAGACTGCCGCCAGCTAAATTTGCAAGTCCATGATAGGAGAAATCAGTTATACGAGAAGTAACATTTTGAGTAAAGTCTACGTTCGGTAAGGTCAGATTTAAGTAGGCAACTGCAACACCGTTAATTATTGTTCCTCGTGCCCAGTCAGCCACTACAGGTGTTAAACCGAGAAGAAAGGCAGGATAATGACGTGAAGGTGTTATTGCAAGAGTTTCAGCACACATATAAAGACCAATGAAGATCTACTTGTATAATTGGAGAAGTAATTGATCCAAAAAAAAACACAAAGCACTTACAATGACCGGATTAACAGCGACAACAGCGATCATCCTGACAAAAAGGGCGATTATACCAAAAAAGCACAATGGTACATAGGCCAAACAATTGATCAATGAATATGCTTGTCGTGCACCCATCCTCTTATATGCTGGATGACCAATGTAAACTATAGGTCAGACAAAAACATAGTAATCAAATTGCTAATAATTTCTTTTGTAAAGTATGATTGTTAAGAAGAGTGGAAGTGCAGCCGATCGCCACTACCATCTTCGGCCTGCCCGACAGATCCTCTACGGACATGTTCATATGATATTTTAGACCTCGGACTTTAGATTTTCAAGAAGTTTTTGGATTTTCAATC